AATTGATTTATAAAGGTTTTTTTGAGTGCAAAAGTGGCGGGGACATGACACCTCATACTTTTGCGGCTGCGGTGGCAGAACGAGAGCAGTGTGAGTGTAGACAGATTTGTCGGGATATTGTGAGTATACGCGACTGAGAGGAGTTTGTTCAGGTAGAGCTTGCTTGCTGAGGACGACAAAACAGATACTTACCGCAAGACCGTAGCTGAGTATTGCTTAGAGCAGCTTTAGTTCTACTGAGTGTTTTTGCTTCATTTCCAGCTACAACCAGTCTATAACCACCTCAAGAATTCACCTGTTTTCCCTTCGTTGCGCTCGGCTCTTTTGAAGCTTGACGTGCAGATTTCGATTCTTTCACATCTCCCTTGGCTTCTTTCTCAGGCGTCTCATGCGATCCTTGACCTACCGCATTCACGTCCTTTGAACCTGGGTTTCCTTCTGCCACAGCTGCGTCCTTGGAGCCTCCCTCTGCGACGTTGTCTTCGCCCATGTTGATGGTTGTATTGAAAAGGAATGACCCGCACTCTACGTTGAGATTCAAGTACAGTATCACATATCATTCTTATCAAATCTCGACAAACATTACTTTCATTCAAAAACTTTTGCGAATGCTAGCAGTGACACGGGATAGTGCTTTGTGGTGCTTCTTCGTGAATGTAGGGCGGCACAAAGTGCCCACTATTTGCTCTGTAATGAAACTCTTGTTTCGAAAACTTGCGCAAACCTTAACGTACTTTATAGAGATGGGTTCCATATATAAAAAAAATTTTCAGTCAGAGGACATCAGGCGAAAAGTATAGCAGGCGCCAAACTAACTCAGCCGTATAGTCTCAACACATAGAGGATTTGCCAATTCACCAATCTAGGTCTTACTGCCTACACCGATGGATCCAGTGAAGAGTGGGTAAATTCGAAACTGTAATTGTCATTTGCAGCATGCTATTTTTGGACTCAAAATTTTTACCAATCCACCATTCTACACCTTTGATATATAAGCCCTGCAGCAACCGTCAAGGGGTGCGGAGCAGCTCGTCTGTGCTCGTTAAATATACAGAGGTTTGC